AAAAAAAACCCCAAAAACTCCACTGATGCTCTGTCTAGTTTTAAAAACCCCTCAGCGTTATCTGTTTTCCCTGGGACAGCTCTGTGCAGATACAAGCTTGGATGGCATTGTGCCTGACGGCGCCCTGTCACGCAGAAGTGACAAACTGTTCCTGACCGGGCCACAGCTTGTCCCTGACTGCAGGCAGCTCTTCTGGTATTTGAGGGGGTTTGGAGGCACAGCTCCAGTGAGGGAAGGGAGTACGTGATCCCCAAAGGGAGGAACCCGCACTGGCCTGGCTGGAAGGCAGAAAGGAACTAAGGACGTGCCAAGCTGTGAGCAGGGGGAGCTCTGTGGACCCCTGCAAACAAGTGCCTGAGACTTGGCGGGGGTCGTGTTTCTGCTAACTTTACTGAATGCACCGCCTCCAACCGAATCAGACGCCTTGTACCGGATGGTTGTTCTTCCGGTGGGCCTGCCCCAGCTTTCCTCTACAAGTACCCGGGAGGGTGGGCTTGGGTCTCTCTCTCCCATCTCAACAAGACAAATTGCTCTCTGCATTAAACAAGACTGAAGGAGTGGAGGGCTAATTTAGGCGTTTGGGATTAACATATACGCACTCCTATATATACACAACAAAACAACAAAGACCTACTGTATGGCACAAGTAACTATATTCAATATCCTGTAATAAGCTATAATGGAAAAAATCCGAAAAAGAAGGCATGTATGTAAATAACTGAATCACTTCGCTGTACACCTGAAACTAACACTATCTCACTAAATCAACAATACTGCAGTTAAAAAATGGTTAAAAAATTTAATTTAAAAACGAGATGGAAAACTATTTCAAAAAAGTGTAATTTTTTAATATAGTTGAAAATCAGCAAAGCAAAGCCAGACTTCTGTATACTCTTAAATCAGTGTTTCTCAACTGGGGTGATTTTGCTCCCCCAAGGGGACATGTACAATGTCTGGAGACATTTGAGTTGTCACAACTGGGGGCAGGGGGTGCTCCTGGCATCTACTGGGTGGAGATGGGGGATACTGCTCAACATCCTTCCTTGCACAAGGCCTGATCCAGCCCCAAATGCCAACAGTGCCAGAGTTGTCATAAATGAAAAAATATTTTTATAAAAGTGTTCCTGAGTTCCATTCCCCTTAGCAATAATCTAGCATTATTTCTTCTCTAGGAGAAGCCTCCATGAATCAAAATTCAGAAAATTAACTTACAGGAAAATGCCTCCCCAAAGAAAAACCTACAAGGCATAATAAAGAGAAACCCGGAGTTCTCCAAGTGGTTGCCAGGGGAGCAAAGTGAGGAAATTGCAGCAGCAGTGCATCAGGAATGAACAAAGGGGTGAATCAGGACCCCGGCCTTGGCTACACATGACAATCCCCAGGGAGCTTTAAAAAATTCCAATGGGTGGGCCACATCCCAGACAACGATTAAACCCAAGGACCTGGGGTGGGGGTGGGATTTGGGCAGTAGACCTTTTTTTTAAAGCCTAGGGAACATGTGACTTAGGTGTGGGAGTGAGTGGGGTCAGAGTAGGAAACACAGGCCCACGGTCTGCATCATGGGTGGTTTCTGAGTTATCAAATGAGAAAGAACAAGTCAGAGCAGGGCTGGCGAGGAGGAACTTTCCAAAGGAGCAGAAGGCAGGGCAGGAGGTGGGGAGCTGCATGGGGGAGGCCCCAGGCGGATGTGAGCAGATAGGCCAAATGGCAGGAGGAGGGACCAACACGGGGAGCTCACTGCAGCCAAGGTGCACCGAGCAGGGAGCCAGGCCCGTGTCCTTCTTGGGCTGAGGCTGTGGTGTGGGCAGAGTGGGCCTTCATTTCAGAACCGTTTGAACCAAAGCCAAAGGAAGCAACCTCAGGCCCAAATAACAAAGACCCACAGTCCCCTGAGGACCAGCCATGGGCGGAGGAAACTGGTTCAAACTAGGGGGATTGATTGGGGTGCACAGGGATACAAGAAATAACCTTTTATGTGAGTTAAGCTGATGATTGCCGATAAAAATCCACTGAGCACATATCAGTCCTTGGCTAAATACAGGTAAGGCAGTTGAGCATCTCCCTCACAAGCTGAGTCAGCTGGGGACCCACACTGCCTGCACTGGATCAGTAGTAGAGAAGGGGAAGGCATCAAGGAGAAGAAGAAGAGGCAGGAACAAGGTCACGTCACCGGTTACGTAGAGAGCCCCCTCAGCCTTATTTCAGAGTTAACTACAAGACCTGATGAGTGGATCTGAATCCACAGGAAACGTTCCCAGAGTGGGGATCAGAGTTTCTAGGCCCTGGCACCATGGCTCTTAGGGCCCTGATGCTCTCTGCTGTGAGGCATCCTGTGCACCGCAGGATGGCGAGCAGCGCCCCTGGCTTCCAAACTAGGTGCCAGCAGCACCCTCTGACCATTTGTGTGTGACAACCAAAAGGCCTCCATGTATTGCCTAACACCCCCGAGGATCAGTATTTTCTAACCTGGGGAGGGTCGCCCAGATAATTAGCTGGTTGGGAATTCAAAGGAGCAGCTGTTGACCAGCACTGAGAAAATGAAAGTGGACAAAGGAGAAAAGTACAGTTGTCACACATGGCAAGGGTACAGGTGATCCCATGAGCATTTGGTTTCGGTCACATATGTAAAAGTGTAGGTCCTGGTTTCAATGGGAAATGTGCCTCTGACTGTGGGTGGTGGTCTATCTGTAGAGAAGGAAACACATCAGAGCTCAGCTAAGTTTGGGGAGGTTAGTTGGAGGAAAGGCTGCAGGAAGCCTCAGGGATTGGGGGTTAACTGCATAAATCTCCAGCAAGATCAATTCATGGATTATTTTGTAGGGTGTTTGGGAAAGGCGGCCAAGCCCATCATCACAAAGCTCCTCGGGCAGAATGCAGGAAGACAAACAAGACCAGAAGGGCTGAGCTCCAGGGTATGCTAGTTTTGGGGTGGTTTATTTGGAAGGTATTCTGTCTTAAACAGTTCTGTGTTAGGGCCTGCTTTTCACCTAGAGACAGTGCCTGCAAAACCAGTGTTATACACTATTGCATTAAAAAATCATTTTACAGGGATACAATTTGCATGCCATAAAACCCACCCACTGTAAGTGCACAATTCAGTGTTGTTATTTCTTAGCATATTCAGAGTTGTGCAACCATGACTACAAACTAGTTTTAAAACATTCCCATCACCCCAAAAAGAAACGTAGCACTGATGATCCGCCACTTCCCACCCTTCCCCTCCTATAGCTGGCAAAAACCAACAACCACTTAGCTACCTCCTGTCTCTATAGGTCAGTCTTTTCTGGACACTTCATAGACATGGAATCAAACAACAGGCTGCCTTTCCTGTCCCAGCATAATGTCTCTGTGGTGCGACGACGTTGTAGCATGAATCAGTACTTCATTTCCTTTTGTGGCTGAATCATATTCCACTGTATAGGCAGATCACATTCTGTTATCCATGCATCTGTTGATGGACATCTGGGTTGTTTCCACTTCATGACTTTTATGAATAATGCTTCTGTGGATATTCATCGAGAAGTGTGTGTGGATGGATGTCTTCTTTTCTCTTGGGTAGATACATACGACCGGTCACACTATAACACTGAAGTCGTTGACTCAAACAAGAAACCCAGTCTGTGAGTGTTCGGCAGACATACAAGACTGGCTCTGGGATTATTATGTTCTTGACTAGAGAGACAGAAGTTGAAGGTCTAGCTCTGTGAAATGAAAGGCTGTGCCCTGTTCTCACATCTCTCCTGTATAGTCCACGCTTAAGTGCGGGGAGAAGTGACTCAGGGGAAAGAATTGCTCACAAAGTACAGGTGATGGTGTGATGGGCACCAGAAGAGCGAGTCCTTCAGCCCATCACTCTGATGCCTCCCTGGCCTGCGGAATTTCTCTATCAGGCAGGGACTGCTGTCTTTTCTCTGTGATGCCTCCTTGTCCCACATCGTTTTGTGCCTTTATTCTAAAGTCACTAAGTTCATATATAATCAGCGATAACCATCATGCATGTAAAATGTGCGTGTGTGTGTATATAGACAAAAGCTATGTATTTAGCAGAGAGCCCAAAAGAAGGGAAAGTTTCCCACTCCTCACCATGAACATTTAGGCTTTGTTGGACATCCTAGGGACGTGGAAGGCAGTGCTTTGGGAGAGGGAGTTTCCCATCAGGGATCCTTCCAGGACCAGGGTATTCAGGTATGTGTGGTGCTCTCCAGGCACCTGGAGCATCCTCCATGCGACACCACCCCCACCCCAGGCGAACCTCTTTTCTGCTCTGAGGTCTCAAAGGACAGGAAGCAGCTCTTGGCTTGGAAACTTGGCAAATGTTTTTTCTACCTTTAACTCTGGAAGGCTTCAAATAGGAATTCCAAACAACCCCAAAGCAAGCAGACAACATACGCATGTCAGGAGGAAACTGCATTCACTGTTTGCACTTTCAGTAGTGAGTACTTGTGTAACTACACAAGGGGTAATTTTATAGTTCTTCAGGGTTAACGAAGAATGATGTTTCACAGTGGGGGAATGGTTAATATACTCTGGCATTTAAAACTCCATATGTGGAATTTTCAGCCATCATTAAAAGTATGCCTTTGAAAAATAGTGACCTAGAAAAGTATTTTTAAGGCTAGATAACAAAATCAGAATGCTAAGCTATTTAGACAGTGTGAGCCCATTATTATTCACCACCCCTCTAGGCTCAACTCCCATGTTTGGATGGAACATTTTTTTCTGCAGAGAAAAACGACAGGCATGTCATGCATGCAAACACTAACACCGGTTTTCTCAAGGAATCTTCATTTTATTGGCCAGAACATTGGCTACGCTTCGCTTTATATTAGGAAGAGTATCCATTATTTAACATTAATAGGTAAAGCCACTGTAAAGTGGCAAAGATTTCATCAGATGGCTGAAGAATGAACCCGAGCACATCTGATAACTTCGTGAATCATGTCTCGCCATGACGACTGTAGCAGAGGCTTCAAAGGTTACTACATTCAGGGCGCGCCTGACCCAGGGCAGGCAGCGCACAGCACTTCCAAGCACCAGCCTCCCGCGCGGTCCTACTGGGAGTTTAATTATAGGGCTGCATAGTGGGGAGCGGTTCTCAAACTTCACCCTTTTGACATTCAGCAGAAATTCAGAGAAAGCTTCCTGTGTCCCCCGACAGGACGGAGAGCCCTAAAGGTTTGGGCGCGATTTTCCCTCCCCTAGCTCCTCCACCTTTGCTTCTCAGTGCTCCCCCCAGGCCTTCTGCCTCCAGGAGCTTCCCCTTTATCTTTGGCCCCGACGTCCATCTATCCCTAGTCCCTCCCGCCGCTCTGCCGCTCTGCCGCTCCGCCGAAGCCCAACCCCTCTGCTGTCCCTTTCTGTTTCTCTGCAGCACCTCCAAGGGCCTAGGATCCCCAGGAGGAAACGGTGAGCCCGAGCTGTGTTTTGTCAGCAGAGCATTTCGAGAGCAGGGCAGGCGTGTGGGGAGGGGGAGGGGAGCTGCGAGTGCGCCGCTCTTCGAAGGTCGTCGGTAACTCCTTCCCGGCGGCGCTGGGCGCTGGCGTTGACCTCTTAACAAAGAACAGGTTCGGCGGCCGCCCCTCCCCCGCCCGAGAGGA